CCACTGGCATTGACAAATTCACCATCAGTCAATTGCAAAAGGTGGCTTTACTCAGAACAGCTTACATCCTGTGACACTACCTCTAACACCACAAAACATCAACATCTGCCTAACTCAGGTCCTTGGGAAGGACATGATAGGTGGATAAAAATGCCAAATCCAGTCTGAACATCTAACTGACTGTGCGACGAACCATAGTAACAGCTATGGGGTTGCACCCACAGTACAGATCATCAGAAGAAAAAAGTATTAGGAAATGTGGCTTGGCGTTCATAGGCTAGTGATATAAAAGGAAATGGATCCTTACAGAAATTTTCAACCAAGGTGGATGAAATTGTCAGTAACAGGGTTTTTTTTCCTTTTAAAAGCAGCCAATTTACAATCTGATGGAACCTCATAAACTGTAATCCCAAATCACACAAATATTTTGATGACCCAACAGTAGTGACCTCTAAGTGGAAACAGAATTCATCATTAGGCTTAATGCAACCTATTTTTAGTTTATCATGTTGTTATCTTTTCACACAGATTTTGGATAAGATGGCATCTGTTATCTTTCTCTTTAGAAACTAATTTCTGATTTTGCCCATTGGGCTCTTGGGAGAGCTGTAACAAGTTGCCAGAAAAAGGAAAGGGATTTTTTTAATTTAAAAAATGCTGTTTTACCAATACACGATTAGCACATAAATTAGGATTATTAGAACAGATTGGCATTCCCCCCCCAACTAATTTAGGAATGGCAGAAAAAATGCAATTAAAAATGAACATATGCTTTCTGTCTTCCTCCTGAAACAGAATCAAAATATGTTAGAGAATTCTGGCCTTGATATGAAAAGAGCAGAGTTTTCAGTTTGTGAGCTTAGAATATTTGCTATAATACAATGTTTGTCTCTTTATAATTCCTTCATCACAGAATACTCCCAGCTCATATAATCTGTCCCAAAATGTCTAAGAAACTGAGCTTTGTATTTAGGCCTCTAGTTATTTTAGCTGGATGACAGGATCTAGCAGGCAGCAAAGCTAGACCCAAATTTGTCCAGGGACTTTTTTGTTTAGCAGTAAATCCTGCTTTCTATCAGGGGGCGAAGCCCCATTAGTTTTGTGGGATAAAAGCTTCTTCTTCCTGTTGTAGATTATGAAAACAGCAAGGCCTTTTTATAACCAGTGTCTTTTAAGAGTCTTGCAGGCAAAACGCAGAAGTGCAACTGATGAAAAAACAGCTATTCTGCACAGAGAGAAATAATGGGAAAATTTGTCACCGCAGATTGGTGGCAGATCCATGTGTGCATGGATCTGCCAAAACGAAAATCCATTAATAAGCAGAGCAGTTGTCTGATAAAAGCTGGAATATCAGAAATCAGAGTTGGCAACAGTACAAAAACATTTTTTCCATAGCTTTTTTCTGAAGCTTTTGTTAACTTCCCATTAGCTTATACTCTTTTTCTGGTGGTTCTCCCCATCATATATTAAACTGAACCAATCTAGTTAGCGGTTTCAAAATCATGCAAGACCAGTTAAGTTTTGTCACCATCTGTAAGTTTTATAATTAAAGAGCATCAACAGTTTGGTGAGATACTAGGAAAGTCTAATAAATTTTCACTAGCCTAGCTCAGGAATGTACACCTTCTATCAATTTGTGAGTCAAACCAAGATGTGTGCCGCATGCTGAAACTACATTCTCAAAACAGTGGAGGAAACTGTTTGGGGGAAAATGTTCAAAAGATATTTAAAATAACAATAATAATAATAATAATAATAATAATAACAACAACAACAACAACAACAACAATAATAATAATAATTTTTTATTATTATTATTATTATTATTATTATTATTATTATTATTATTTATTATTATTTTATTATTATTATTATTATTATTTTATTTCTATACCGCCCTCTCCCGAAGGACTCAGGGCGGTGTACAGCCTATTTAAAAACACAGAAACAAAACAACAATTAAAATTTAAAATCATTAAATAATTAGGCTCCAATTAAAATCCCAGAAATTTAAAATACCCCAATTTAAAACGTTATGTTAATAGCCCGGCCTGGCGGAACAACAGGGTCTTCAGAGCGCAGCGAAACACCCTGGAGGTCGGAGATCTTACGTATTTCCGGGGGCAGTTCATTCCACAGGGCTGGGGCTCCCACAGAGAAGGCCCTCCCCCTGGGTGTCGCCAGCCGACATAACTTGGCCGATGGCACCCTGAGGAGACCCTCTCTGTGGGAGCGGACTGATCGGTGGGAGGTTATTGGTGGCAGAAGTCGGTCTCGAAGGTACCCGGGTCCTATGCCATGGAGCGCTTTAAAGGTGGTAACCAACACCTTGAATCGCACCCGGAAGACCACTGGGAGCCAGTGCAGCTTGCGCAGGAGAGGTGTCAATGCTTGACCTGACAAATTTAAGTCATATATTTTGTCTCTTAATCCCCCCCCATTCCTCCCCAACCCCAAAAAGAGAGAGGAAAAGAAGAAGACTGAAAATTTCAATCTCATCCTTCATAGATCGCTGCAACAATCTATGCACTACATGTTGGTCGGCTATATTTAGTTACGTATCACTGGCTTAGTGACTTGCCAATAGTACAGTTTTTAAGATGTCCTGAAATTAGCTACTCCTTAGTTATTTGCTAGCATAATCTCTTGAATTAGCAATTATCACACTGTACTTCTAAAGAGGTTTGAAAGAAACTTTGGTCTTTCATAGTTTGAGACAAGGAGAACACACCAAATCAGTCCTATTAGTTCTTTCACAATTGTCTATTCAGTCTTCAGTTGGAAAATGCTCCTGATCCCACTGAATAATATGGAGTTTCTTGATGGGCCAGTTCTTTAAACACCCTTGGGAAATAGCCTGGCATTTCCTCTCATGGTTTACATTTTCCACTGCACCGCAATTTGCTCAACATCCAGTGAATTTCCATCTTTTAGAGTATCTGGGTCCCATGCAAAGGAAGGAAAGATTTCTTGTATAGTTGGAGGCAATAACCAGCACTATTGAAATGATAAATTGATGATAAATTCATCATCCAGCAAGAAGAATTGTTTTGTTCCAGATTACTTAGTTGAAATATACATGATATCTTTAAAGTTATATGAGATTTTACTCAAAATGAATATTCTGTTGAAGCACACAACCAGATAAAGTTGCCTATTTTTTTTCTCTAGGTTTGGTCAATGATAGATAGAAATTTGATCTTTAAAGGATCTCATCCTCGGTATTTATGTGCCAGATGTTGCACCTGATAAATATGCACTTGCCATCCAGCAGTTAAAGACAGAAAAAGATAATTTCTCAGATTCTATCTGCCTAAGCTCTTCATGTTTTACATCAGTGTTCCTTCATCTATAAATATAGATGTGCAACGATGTGTATGTCACAATGGGCAAATTCCCTAGTAACTGTTGGCTGATCTTGAAATCAGCTAATCAGGGTTGGACTTGATTAGTACTTAATGAGTGATAACCAAGCAATTTCAAGGTTGGATCCAGGAGTGGGAAATTGTACAAAATCCCAGAAAAAAATGGCAAACCACTATTACATAAACAATCATATTAATATAATCAAACAAGTATTAAGCATGAGTTCTTGCAATAGTACATGTATACACATATTTATAAGTCAAAAGGTTTGATATTCAACTACCACATATGTGTAAGAAATTTTGGGAAGGATGGAAACACTGGTACAATATGGACAGAGAGTAGGCAAATCACTTGGCAGTTTATCACAAAAACAGCAAATTAGTGCAGGTGGAGTGAAGTCTGGGAAGAAGCTTTTCAAGGTATTCAAAGAGACGCCACCTTTAATGAACTCATTATAAAGGAGGCCAGGAAACTCCTATCACACTTTTCAAGATGTTGTATTTGTATCCCCTAGCAAATTTACTGAAAACTGTGTTGGCTTGCTCCCTTGATTTTTGCTCAGCTGCCTGGGCAAAAATATGAAGGCTCATAGCATAATATGCTTGCCTTTCAGATCCCACAAGGTTGTTGCCATCGTTGAACATTCTGTAACATTTTAGTCTTTTGAAGATGATGATGTATATCATTAATTGCAGTTATTAGTAACCACCACAAAAACAACCAACTGTTGGAGATCTGGCAAGCAGATATCATGCAATCCATAAATGATGAGCTAGCGTTTTATACACCACAACCAAATGTGGTTTATTCAATCAATCAAGGCTAAGCCAACAGTAAGAGCACGGTACGTACTCCCAATCCTTCATTTAAATCGGATAATAGGAGACAGGATGAAGTAACGCATCTCCCCTGCCTGACTTGCCGCCCTCCAGAGAAGTGCAATTATAAGCTCTGTAGTCATGGCTGCAGTCCCTGTAGTCTCAGACCCTGGAAGACTTCAGCTTAGGGCAGAGAGTGTGCGTTTCGACCTGTTCTTCGATGCGCCATTGGAACCAAGCCGTCTCAAAAAGTGCTTTTTCAAAAGGCCACTGTTTTGGACAGTGTTTTGTTTTGGGTTTTTTTGCCTCGAGGTCAGAACCGATGAAGCTTCTTGGATGAGAAGCGAAACGTCTTCCCCAAGGGGAAAAAGGCAGTCCAGTGGGCTTTTGGGGAAAAAAAAACACCTTTGAGGCAATTATGTCCTGGATGACTGAGAATCTCCACAGACGCTGAAACCGACTGGGAGCGCCTCAGAGCCACGCGGGGCAGCGGTAGTAACCGCGCTTTGTGTGGAATTCACGCCCCCCCCCCGCTAATTAATGCCTAGAGCCCCCCACCCCACCCCGAAGCGGCGACTGAGGGCGCAGCCGGTGCCAGTTTGCCGTCGCGACTGAGTTTTAGTCTTAGCCGAGGCTCGCCCGACGGCCCAGGCTTTCCCTTTTTCTGTGCACCGCAGCCTCTCGCGCGGGCGAGGGGCGGGGTCGGCGGCCCCAGAACTGGGTTACGCGATCCCAGGAGGAGCCGACGGCTCTGACCAGCCCCTCCTGGGCGGAGCTCCACGCCCCCCCCCCCACACACACAGCCGTCGACGCCCGGCTGCCGAGTGCCGTGAGTTGGAGCCCGGGCTGTGCATGGGGTTCCCGGTGGCAGAGAGCAGCGGTATCCCCCTCAAGCGTCCTGCGCGCCGTCGAGCGCCGTCTTCGCCATGAGTTTCCCGCGACCGCTACGCAGAGCCGTCAGCTTGACCCCCGCGCGGACTCTCCGACTGGTGGTGCTGGGACAGGGCGCCGTGGGCAAAACAGGTACCCATCCTTATCTTCGGGGGCGGGAAAGTCTTGAGCCGCCGGTGTTGTTTCCCTATTCAGATCCGACGCTTCCTTCCCAAAAGTCAGGCAACCCGCCTCTGCCCTCCAGGTCGGGGCGTCAGTTACCGAAGTCCTGCAGTTCTGTCTCTACCCCCCCCCCCCCCACCCCAATTCCCGGGAGAAATCGCTGTCTCCTGTCCTGTCAAAAGTGGAACTGCTCCGTCGTGGCATATTTTACCTTGCCAGCGGGAAGCGACTTCCCATCGCCAATTTATTCGGAGATTTTTCAAAGCGAAAACTTCATACTCGTCCAAGGACCAGTTAGTATGCCAGGTGCGTGGTGCGGTTTGGAGGTTAGAAAAGGAGAGGAAGCGCTGAACTCCTCTGGCTGCCCGCGGGTGAGCCCTTGGGGGGGAGGGCGGATATGTGGACCCTTCGTGCTTGATCCAACTCAGAAACTCATGTAGTGCTGCAACATCATTGCTCTACCGTGAGCAGTTGTACAAAGTGAACCCTCAGATCTCCAACTATAGTGCTGGAGCTGCCTTCCAGAAAAAAAATATACATTTGATTTTCAGTTAGATAGGGAAGCATTACCTCTATTTGTCCTTTACTGTTTTATTCAATTTCTCAAAATCCACAAGCCTTCAATAATCCACTGCTTGACTAGTATAGAAGCTCTTTAATTCAACGTCTGTGTTGAAATTTGGGAAGAGTCTGCTAGTGCTTTTTGAATTAACAGACTTATTTAAAACCTGAGCTTTTATGCAATTATTTGCCTATATCTGTGTTGAATTGTTTTAAAAATATCCTTCCTTTTTTCTTGGGAAAGTAAGATGTTCCCAATGGAATCAGACCAGGGATTGCTTTCTCCAGCATTCTGGATCAGAAATTCAGTCAAAAGAAGTTACCTGAACAAAACACAGGTAATAAAACACAGGTTTTGTTCACAAGTGATTTAAGAGTTGCCTGAGTAGCTGTGGCTTTGTCAATCCTGTTTTATTTGCTTTTATTAATAAGGCTTAAATCCTGCCGTCCCATGAATCTTAGTTTTAGTGTGTGGCAAGAACTTCAACCCAGATCTCCCAGGCTGAAATCAAAGAGAGTGTCAGCTGCTCATTCTACTTCTTGCTTTACATTTGTCATATTGAGGCTTCTATTCCCACTTTTCTTTTTAACTGTGGAGGAAATTAAAAGTTAGACTTGTGTCATAGTTGCATTCTCCACTGGTATAGTTTGCCACCAAACGTCTTTCCCAAAGTATTTAAATCATACTTGTTGATCTACATTTGCAAAGGAAGAAAAAAGACTGTTCTTTTTAGACTTATTTAGGGAAGGGTTTAAATATGGTAACACTATATTTGGCTCCAGTCTTGTCCATAGTGTGTCTTTGCATCTAACCAACTCTTCATCGAAAATATACCCCAACAGCAACATGAAAGAAAGTGAAAGGATTGTATAAAAGGGAATAGAACAGGCTAACAAAAATCAAGGAGATAAAAAGCAGGAATGTACTTTTTTATTTTTTTTGACTGAAGGTTACCGGTAATTTTCTTTTAATAGTGGGCTCATGGCGAAATGCAGATAAATGTTGCATGGATCACTTTCTTTCATGTTGCTGTCAAAATGTAAATTAAAGTTTGAAGTGCAGTTATCCTAATCCTAGCCTTCCGTCACTTATACCCTGTTTCCCCCAAATAAGACATCCCCTGATAATAAAACCAATCGGGCTTTTGAGCGCATGGCAATAAGGCCAAGCGCTTATTTCAGGGTTTAAAAAAATATAAGACAGGGTCTTATTTTCAGGGAAACATGGTAGTATTTATTTATTTATCTAGTAAATTAATTGGCTACCCATCTCATATGCATGACTTTGCGGAGCCCACAATTTTTAAAAAATAATGTTTTTAAAATCAATAGCATTTTGTTAATACAAGCAAGACAAATATACAAAGAATCTCAAGATATAGTACTGGAGTTGCATTCCAGAAAAAAAAAATCACCTCAGGCACTATCACCTCAGGCACTTTGTACCAGGTGAAGCAAGTTTCTTTTCTTCCTAGACACGCAAGTCCTTTAACAGTATAGAATTTATTGAAACTTTTAATCCTATCTCTCTACACCTTCATATTTTCCTTTGGTGAATTTCTGTTCAATTAGAAATCTATAGAGATTTAATACCCTCCTTTTGCATTTTCTGCTAAAGGACAAAAGAGGTTAAGCACATTTCTATGAAGCTCAATGAAAGTTCCATTCAGATTGTCTTAGTAAAGTGATCCTTTGATGGAATCTGTTTCCTGGGGTATATATGCATTCCTGCCTTAAACTTCTGAAACATAGACACATTGTCCCACTCTCCTCCTTTCTCTGTTACTCTTGCACTGATTTTTGATACTTGACTCAGTTGATCCAAATTTTAAAGCAAAGGTTCCTGAAAACATAGTTTGGGGGAGGGGGAGGAATTAAATTATGCAGTATTGCTCTACTGCAACCACCACCTGCTTAATCGCACTTTCCTTCATATTTTACACTCACTATGATTTCAGAATAAAGTAGGTAGACTTCTCAGTCTACTTCGTTTCTGAATTTTTCTGAACCTTTGATGAGGGGACAGGTATTTGCATCAGTGGCTCTTGACCCTTTTGTTTCTTAAGTCTCACTAGTAATACTGTCAAGAATTCTACCAGAATAGAAGTGAAAAGCTTACCTTTTTCCAAGAAATATATTTTTACAATAACTAGCATTATGTTATCATATTTATGAATTGCAATTTGTAAATGCAGCGATAATTTAATAATTCCACTGCTGTAACTAAAACTTGAAATAATAAATGATTTCATCACTAAGAAAGATGTGAATTAATTCGTACGGAAAAGTTTATGATTCTATTTCACCAACTAGCCTCTCATTTAAAAGAGAATCAAAAGTCTGTTTACAATAGAGTTGCATATTGCAAAGAACTGTATCTCAGTCTAATAATAATCTCCATACAATCCAAATAGGGTAGCTACCCAAATCTGGACGTCTCATAGATGGTACCAGTTCTCTTTCTCTGATCACCAGCCATTCTCAAGCCCTAACCTCTTTCTAGTACCCAGCAAAAAAAAGGGAGCATAAAAAAGTGTGACACTCATAAAAAGAGAGAGGACTCCAATATCGTTGCTGTCTTGGCTTTTATAAAACCTCATCCCATGGACGCTTGTCAATAATAAGAGTCTTTTTCTGCATATATATTGGGAAGTGTCATTCTGGTTCCTTCTGATCAGTACTGCTTCGGAATTCTTGGTTTGGAGATTGTTTGCTCTACTGCTCTTTCTTTGCTCTCTTCTCTCCCCTGAGCACAGATTTGCATCGTACCTAGGGCAATTCTAAGCATCACCAATACACATAATGCCACATTGGTATACATGATGTTTTATTTGAAAAAGAAAGATCCTATTTCAGATCTTTTTTCTAATCCCTATGGAGTTCTGAAGGGGAAAAAAATCTTACTTTAAAAAAAAGCCAATTCATCTACCATATGGATCTCCTTAGTTTCTACCCTGGTAGAATCTTTATACTACTGCCTCCAAGCTAGCTTTTATTTCTTTTAATTGTTGAACTCAATGTGGCTATTATGTTTTGTTGAGCAACATTTAAGGTTACTGTACTTTCTGCTTGGAATATGCCCTACATCTTGACTCAGCAGTTCTCACCTATCAAAAGAAATTATGTGCTATTGCCAAAATATCATTATGGATTCCTATTTCCTAGAGTGATGGGAAGTGAATTTGTCTTGTTTAATTCCTTTTAATGAAAAAAATATTAGAAACTTCAAATTTTATTGATTATTTATTTAGTAACAAAATGTATAGGGCTGCCCAATTCATGGTGACCCTGGGCAGCCTATAGAAGTAAAAGCCCATATACAAAACCCAATAAACATACTGGCTATAACAATCAAACTATTTTATTTTTACATAGCTACACTTATATAAAAAAAGGAATAGACATCCCATTATACCTCAAGATTCAGATAAATCCAGCTAGACAGTTGCTTCCCTCTACTTTTTATTTTCTTTTTTCAAATATACACATATATAGTTTGTTTTCAACCTGGTTGGATGAATAATCCACATTTGTTAGGTTTATACCATACAGTAAACCAGATTTAAGCAACATTTTCTAAAATAAGTGATATTTGACTGGGTTCAAATAACATATTATGCTACAAGCTATGATTTACTAGTGCAGTTGAATTTGGTAATATTTCACAGCTGCATTTCAGTAAACCTCTAAGTCATTGTAGGAAACAGTACCCTTTTTGTGAAGACCATGATTATTGGCATCAAAGTGATCACATTTCAGGAAGCAAATCATTTTTAAGAATAGCTCTGGGATTCCATTTTATTTAAGAGCTTAGGTACTAGTTTTCATGACTACAGAAGAACAGGGATCTTCAACAATACAACAGAAAACTTGATTTGGCAGGAATGGTCCTCAGACCTGAGTGGGAACATATTCCCATATCGTCCTGTCCTCCTGTAACTATGTGCCTAAGCACGTACTTTTGAAAAGAAAATTACATATATCACCTCAATAACTCCTTTTTCTCTCCAATGTTTTTCTTTGTCTTTCTTGTCTCAGATTTTAACTTGCAAGTTTCTTGGGGGAAGGTTTTAAGTCGTAAGCTACTGAGGATTGGGATCTCTCTTCTTGTACTTTGCAAAATACCAGGCAGGCTGAGTTACTCATATACATACAAAACCTACAATAATGATGCTAGTTTTGACTGGATTGTGGCCAAGCCCAAGAGTGAGGGGATTGCTGATAATCAAGTGATGCCAGTCTCAATGCTGTACCTGTTTGACTCAGCAGCGTACCTTGTAGGCTTGTTAACCAAGACAAAATAAAGTCTTGCACATACATTTTTAAAACCACTGTGATGAAAGCAACTTTTATAGTTCCAGCCCACATATCATGCCCTCATCACAGCATTGAGGGCTTGCAGTTTGCCA